CCTCACACGCACATCCAACCACCCACATATTATCTCCTCCTAGTGAAAAATCCAACTTAATAAACTTCGAAGCATCTTTTCCCAGGTACAAATTTGAAGATTGGTATATAGTAGAATTTATTGGAACCATAAATTTCGCGAGTGCTTATCAGATGCGTCCTTACGCTACCTGGAAGCAGCCTACATACGGCTGTTTAAACTTCACCTATCTAAACAACTGGAGCATGTGGTGAATATAACTCTGCCGTGGTAACACCGGCTCCCTGTTTACACATTCTTCTTCCCAACCGCTTTTTTGCCTTAGACGTTTTTACTCGTTTTTGATGCCCACAGCGTTTAGCTTTCCTACGTTATTGATAAGCCCTCTTGGCCATTTCTTGTGACCTTGCTGTTTGTATCGATTTTTCTATATGAATTCAATTTTCTGTATTCGCCAATTCGTTACTTACTTTGTGCAGCGAGAGGGCGCAGCTGATGAGCACTCGCGAAATTTACGGTCCGAATAAATTCTGCTGCAGTCGCAATCTTTAAATAAACTTCAGCAGGGGCTGGTGTGATTGTTTGCTGCCAACTCAGGAACCGGATGATAAATTATTTCACGGGCTCACCTGACTTCGCTTCGTTTCCAGCTGACTTTTCCACAGGATCTGAGCGTGATGCAGACCGATGCCGCAGAAAGCCGTGTAGGCCTTGAACACGCTCACATCATGGTCTGTGAACACGGGATAATCGGCCGATGCCTGTTGCTGCTCCCCCTTTCCCTCCTCCTCTTCCTCCTTCAACTCAGAAGAAGTGGAGCTGGAGAGCCCGGAAGCCGCCGCCACCGCCTTTCCGTCGGCGGCGGAAGGAAGCGAAGATCCGGGAGGCAACTTGTTAACCACCTGGGCCACAGCCAGCACCTCACCTTCACCATTCTTGATGGGCATGCAGAGAATACAGCGAGTATGGAAGCCGGTCAGTTGATCCACCTGATCGCTGAAACGTGAGTCCTTAGGAAGAAGAAGAGGAAATGGGAAAGCCCAGGTGTTAGTCTACAGCATGGATCCACGAAGAGCCTACGAAAGTAAACTGCTATTATTAAGGAGGTTTGGCAGATTTGGTTAATTTAGTTGACCCAATTGTGAAAAAACTCGCGGCATTCAGCGGGATTCCAACCCTCCTTCATAAATAAGTCAACCTAGTAGTCATTCTGGTAGATTCCAT